GCTGTGTAATTAAATTGTCTTCAACGTTCCAGCAAATAGGTTTAAGCTACAAACCTATCAAGTTCTCTGGGAGGTGGAAGGTGGAAAGCAATGGGGAGTGAATAACCAAGTGGCTGAGTGGAGCAGAGAGTATACAGATAGGAGTGTGGCTGTGTGGATTTATCGGACAAACGATTTTGAATATAGAGCTGCCACGCAGGGGGAAACACATTAGTGAATGATGCTGAAGATGGCAATGACTGGCTGGCAACAAAGATAAGTTGGCCACGGTCACTACCCCTTCCACTGAGTAGTGGCTGTGGCAGTGCACATCCGACATTGGACAGTGAGGGCAAATTATGAAACAATCAGGTGGAAGGGTTTGGAAACAGGGAACAGTGCACTACATGATCTATGTTTTAACTGGGAAACACTGAAAGATGGGTGATGGTCTCTTAAAATGGTCCTGGGAAGTTTCATCTAGATATTATCAGAGAACAACCACATTTTCTGACCTGAATCTTGGTTAGAGGCAGGCTGCCTGGAACTGTTTGCAAGACATTCTTTGGGTGGTGCAGTCTGGGCTAGGGCAACACAGGCCTCCTTCCAAACTGCAACGTTTCATGCAATGGGCATACAAAATCTCTCTTTCCCTGCCAATAGCTCCTTATAAATCTTAATTGTTGCTCTTGGTGCTGTTGTTGGAGTGGCACCAGAGCTTGACCAAAACATATTGAAACTTGAAACAGGAATTAAACACCTTGTTCTGAGTCTATAACTCCTAATCCCTGTCTCCATATCCACAGACTTTGAGGCACAGTCCTGCTAAATCCTTTAGGGATCAAGTGTTTTAGTGTTTCCTTTTCTTTATCTCCTTTTGTATAAGATGTACTGGATCATCCTTTATGAAATGAGATTACGTCATCCCACAGTTCAGTACATCACTGTGATTTTTGTGCTGTTTTATATTTTTATTATCAGTTCCACCGTGCGCTATTCCACAGAAATTTCGCAGCCACTCTATGGAAAACATAGACTCTGCAGACGGACAAGACACATGTAACAAGTGCACAAACTGGTTAACAGACACAACAGGCAGGTCAAGTGGCAGGAATAAGAGAAGCAAGAGACGGCCACAGATTTTGCATACAAAAGAGCTACTGAGCTGATGGGAACAGCTGTGTTGGTTAGGTCACATTGGCAGTTGTCGAATTTCAAGGCATGGGAAAAAAAAAAACACAGAACACAACTCGTTTCTTTTAATTTAGCTATATCTGAAACCTGTTTATATCTCATTTATTGTTTTTATTTAAACGTGTGAACATTTAGAGGCAGAATAGCTCTAACTAATTTGCTTTTGTTAGTTGTTACGTGTCATTCCACTGTGTTGACTAGTTAATGAGGTGGTTTAATGCTACCTTTGTCCCCAATAGGTTTAGGGCTGTCATCTGTTCAGATTTCCTCTGGCCCTCTTGGATAGTCTGTAGGCTACTTTTCTATTACAATAGACAGGAAAGGTAAAACTGGTAAAACGTGCCCAACTGCACGGTGACCTCTTTGGTTGATAGATGTCTGAAATGTGTACAAAAGTGTAGTTATGACAGGAAAGGTGATTAATTAGTGTAGAATAAAAGGGTTGGGAGGAGATAAAAAAAAAAAAATCAGAAAACTATCTAGCTGTGTAGATAACTCAGTGGGCCTGAGTTATCTGATTACATAAATCAACAGCTCTATCTGCCCACTTCCAACATCTCCCAGCATTATTCTCCTACTAGCTTTAACATTTATATACCCAGATCAAAGGCTGAGGGAAAACCCAGCCAGTGTTCTCTAACATAAAGCCTTTAAGCTTATGGAAAAAAACCCCCAACGATATTAAACTTGAGACAGTAACTCGAAATTTCGACTTAGTTCTGGCTTCTGGCTGCCATTTTTTCCCCGGAAACGTTTGAATCACAAAAAGCCGGATCCTTAAGCATATCATTGAATGAGGCATATGGTCTACCGCCTCAATGGCCCAAAATGCAGTTCGGCAGTCGTCATCGTGTTGTTGCGGAAGTGCTGGAAGATCGCCGTGTCCGTGTTTCTGCGCTCTCTGACATCTGCATTCATTCTCCAGAGCAGATATTTCTCTCTGATTTTCATCATTCACTGGAGCTATGGCAGCTCTGAAGTACGCCGGTATGGACGATACAGATAGTGAGGATGAGTTACCACCTGGATGGGAGGAGAGGTCTACTAAAGATGGTTGGGTCTACTATGCAAAGTAAGTGAGATCTCACCATTAACGCTATCAGCAAGCATGTCTGTGTATGAGTTCAGTCCTAACACTTACTGACATCAGGGCCATGCCATTTCTATTAGCACCTGGCTAACACAGCCTGCTAGCTACACTTGTTAAAAACCTCTGCCAACTGAAATGTAAACTCTGTGTTATAAAGTGTGCCGTCCTCATTTCACTGTAGGGTTTGTGCTAATTGTTGTTAGTCTTTGATAAGTCTGTGAGTTTGTCATCTCGATTTATCCTGCTGTAGTGTCACTATTCACTAGCTGCCATGCTGTGAACTTAAGCTGAAATATAAAATCACAACCCTCCTCAGTAATGGGATAATGCATTAGAAATGTACATTTTGGATGTGCAGCTGAAAAATCTATAGCAACTGTGTGATGCTATCATGACAACATCGACCAGAATCTCTACTCATCTTGGGCATGAGGAGTCATGGAGTCAATGTGGGGCTTTTGCTGATTTCTTTGAACTGTTTGAATTTATTTAGGATTTTCTCAAATCCACACAAGTTCAAAAATCTACTTCCAGGTTCAAATATGTTCA